AATGGGTGAGAGTGATTCTTGGATTTTATATTTTTAAAAATGAGAGCTCTGTCATTGTTTTTACATCCTCACAGTGCTACAGGAAGTCTTGAATACAAGCTAAAATTATCAATACACCAGTCCCCTGTCTCCTTCCATGTTCCATCTTGATTTCATGAGTTCAATACTAAGTCATCTCCTTATTTTCTTCTTTCCCCTCCCCATGTTTTTGTGTTAATGTCTTACCTAATGAAAATTAAGAGAGCTCAAGAATGTGCACATTGCTCTAATAAAGGTATTGCCTAGTACGTAATTCAGAATGTTGTCATATTGGCAACATGGTTTACTCAACTATTTGCTTTTTGATTCTTTTTTTTTTCTGATGCTACATTTTATTTCTGTTTTAATTTTAAGCATATGATCCAGAGCAATGAGTGATTTTGAAATATAATAATTAAATAAAATAACAAAAGTAATCATAAAAAATATTGCACATTAGAAGGCAGATTGTTTAGGCAGGTTGAATTCAGTCTCTTTTTAACTTTTATCACTATTTGGAAATCAATGGGCAACTGGACTTTTGGGGTGGGAGACACCATTTGGAGATTTCTCTTTAAGCTTGTAATTATTTTAAGTTCTGTGCGATGGCTTGATATTCATATAACCTGAATTCATTCATAGTTTTTTAAAGAGTTGCTGAATAATGTTAATGTTAATGTATAACACTTATACCAGGTGTTTTCAAACTTTTTCAGGCCATGGAATTTGTCAGTTAAAAAAACCAAATTTCCTGGAAACCCTGATCAAGAGGCAAAGCTCTAGTGATAGAAAATTGGCTGTGTTTGAGTGAATGTTTTTCTTTTTTGCTCTTAGTTCCTCATGGAGCCCCAGTCAAGTTCTCCCAATTACTTAGGTTCCACAGAACACAGTTTGAAAAACCTTGCTTTATCTCAGTTATGGAAATGGAAGAAGAGTATTGGATTTTGAATGATCAGCTTTGGGTTTCTTTTTGCTCCTGGCATTTGACATTAAACTTACCAAAGGTGTCATAAATCCATTTTATGGGTTTAAACGAAAATTCCTCAGGAATTCCTAAGAAAGGTGCTGAGTTATCAGTTGCTGTGTGTTATATAGGGAACCACGAAACATCTATATGAATGACATATTCATTCATGGGTACAACTTGAAGGCTTGTTGTGAAGATAAATAAAAAGAGGACTCCATCTTTACCACCCAGAACTGATCAGGTAGACAGGCTGGAAATGCTAAATAGGAATAAGTTGCTTCAGACCATGTACAATATATAAATAAAATCTTGGTGCTGTGGACTTCTTTATTAGCTCACTGAGTTTTCATTTAAATTGTTTAGCCTTCAGCAAATACATTCCAGACCACTGTGAGCCAAAATCTTAAGTAGATGGTTCCTGAGAATGTACCATTTATATTCTCTGTATAAAAAAAGACCAGTCAAACTTGAAGATATGTATACATTAAAACCTTTTTTGTCGTTTTGGAGAGAATATTGCAGAACTTCACTGCCTGAAGTGCACACTTTCATTTTTATGTGTCAGATTGATTTTTCTAGTTTTGATTTCCCACTTTATCATGAATACTGGATTTTAAAAAGATAAAACCTGTATTAGGTGCTATAAAAATTACTTTTTTGATGGATCTGTTGGCAGGTGGCTATTGGATATTGCCTATGAGAAGTAATACATACTTTTCACTCTGACACTCAATCCTCAGCCTATGCTTGGAACTTCTTTATGATGTGTGTGTCAATATATACAGCTATAGGCACTTATAGCTGTAAGGGACTCAGCCATAAGCTGTTGGTAATCTTTCTATTTAGTTCTGCATCATGGAATGGAAGAACAGATGCAATTACATTAAGGAATGATATCTCATAATTGCAACACTATGTCTCCCCATTGCAGACATAAAGTTACTCTTCATATCTCTTCCAATCATTTGAATGTTATCAAGGCATCAGTGCTCTTTCAGGTGGCAATAAAGTGAAAGTCACTCCCGTTGCTTCATGGGAGCAGGCATCATCTACACAAATTAAAGCTTAACATTGCTGGTTTGATTTCTCAACAGTGCTGCATAGACAACTATGAAGAAATAGTTACACTTCTTCTGAGCCATGGGGCCAATGTCAATGCAAAGGACAATGAATTGTGGACTCCTCTGCATGCAGCAGCAACATGTGGACACATCAATCTAGTGAAGATCCTGATTCAGCAGTAGGTGACCTGTGATACTTGGTATTTTTTGTTGGGATATATATAGCAATATATCCACCTATTATTGCAGTTCTCCATGCAGTCATCTGGAAGATATAAATAGGAGCTATATACACATTTGTTTAATGTGATTTTCCTGTGATCCTGATTTGTTAAGACACTGGTTTATGCAGAAAGTTATACTTCCATTCTATGGAAAGACAGAGTACAGTTTTCCTTTAGATGTTTTTGCTCAATGTGAATAGATCAGGGAGAGCACGGGTGTGGCCAATGTATGTGGTCTCATCCTCTATCCATTTTGAACCCTTACAAATTCAGGCAAATGCTTGAATAGAGTTCCCCATACAGTGCCTTCCTTCTTTCGGGTGCAGGCATTTTAAAAAACTGCAACAGAAAGATATCTTGTCTGTGGTTCCCAAATACACCCCACTGGACAGCTAAAATGTTCTTTTGAGGGGCAGATGGTGATGGAAATGTATTAGCATTTTTCTTCCTTAAGAGGGAATTCTTATGAAAAAGGTTCTGCCAATAAAGAAATATCTCCCTCATCTTCCAGGTACTTCAAATGTGTTGTAATTGCAGGATATTTCTTTATTCTGTCACAGCGACAGTGAAGCAGAAACTTTAGGGGGAAGACAGGATATAAAATGAAGTACAGTGTAATAATGGAATCAAAACAAGATGGATGAATAGCTTGGGTATCCAGCAACATAATGATCCGATAGGGTTCTTTCATGTGGGGCATTTGTGCTGATTTGGGATCAACACCATGCCACTGCTCTTTAGTAGATTTTTCTACAACTGTTGGCTGCAGTTTAATTCCAGCACTAAAGCTGTAAAGACAGTTGTTCAGCATAAAGTCCAGAGCTGTCCTGGTGGACAGATTTCAATTGGTGGGAATCACCTCATCCTGTTTCCCAGCTACTTAGTTTTCCCTCACTCCCTGTTGAAGTCAGGCATCTTGCTATCACTTCACTAGTATCATTTAAAGAGCTTAAGCGAAGGTGCCTTTACCAAGATGGCAACAGTAAGTCTTGTAAGATAGTGCAAAAATACTTCTGAGGGTTTGGGAGATGGAGCTGATGGTTGGGTATAAGAATAGAATGGATAGATATGCTTCTCAAACCCTATCATGGCTTCTTCCATAGGCAAGATCCCTTAATGTTCTTCATGTACATCTAATTTATTTTGACAAAAGTAAATATTTGCATTTGTGTTCTGTTTTGTTTCATGTTCCTGTTTGATGTAACCCATGGTATATATTTAGTAGGGCTGTACATGAAAATAATTAGAAGAAGGTGCTTTGGACTTTACTCGGTATAAGAATAGAATGGATAGATATGCTTCTCAAACCCTATCATGGCTTCTTCCATAGGCAAGATCCCTTAATGTTCTTCATGTACATCTAATTTATTTTGACAAAAGTAAATATTTGCATTTGTGTTCTGTTTTGTTTCATGTTCCTGTTTGATGTAACCCATGGTATATATTTAGTAGGGCTGTACATGAAAATAATTAGAAGAAGGTGCTTTGGACTTTACTCCTTTTTGCCACTGATTTGATGTATTACACAGCCTTATTTTTTTTAATACATAAGTGAGAATACGTTCTTTAGATCATTGGTAGGTTCCTCTCTGTGTGTGTGTGTGTGTGTCCATGTGTGTCTATATGTATAGATCTCTCATTCTGTCTAAGAAAGAATCATAAGGAATATGCTTCTATACTTAAGGTTCTAGGATGAATCCTCACATCTAATTAAAAAACAAAGGTAACTTGACTTCTCCTGTGATGTCAGAGAATGGTAATCAGAACAGATAATAGCAGACTAGATGAACAAATAGCCTCACCTGGGATTAGGCAGTTTTTATAGCCATCTTTGAAATTGGCTGAAAACAATAAAAGCATCTCAGCGGTTAAAACAAAGTAGCAGTCAGATCTCCTCACTGAAACTCACAAAAGGCACACCTTAATTAAACAGCTTGGCATCCTGCCAAAAGGAACCTATTATGGCAGTAACCCAAATCTTTGGGAGCAAAAATTATAAGTGTTGTGAAGCAAATAATTAAAGTGATGATCCTGCAGATGTCTTGCTTTCAAACTGGCCAAAGTTTTAAACTGAACAACTGATAGTGTGAATTGGGTCAACAAAGAAATTATAGCACATAGCCTTGTTTTGCTAATGGAGCATGACGATTCTAATTTGGTGATGATGGGCAGAGAGTGAGATGGTGGGAGAAAGGAGATGGGCCATTCTCAAGGAAGACAGTTTTGGTGTTTAGGACTAATCCTGACTTCTCATCCCCTGCACTGTGCCCTAGTCCTGGTCATCAGAATCTCAGTGACCCTGCTTTCTGGCTGCTCAATGCATGTTTGGCCTTATTTATGATTTAATTGATGAGAGCGCCAACTTTGCATGCATTACAAACCTGGTTGTGCATGGGAGGGGGGCCCTTCTCAGAAATGTGCCCACCTGGGTTTTGTGTGTGGCATCAGCTGCAGCTCCAGGGTAGGGGCAGTAGCCTGGCAATTGTCATCTGAGGGATTCTGGTGGGTTCCAGGAGCACTATTCCAAAGATAACCAGATAACCTGTCGTGGTTGGGCTGTGGGGATTACATGGGACTCTTGCTAGTGTATTGACTTCCTGCTACATGGCAGCTCCTTACACAAACTGCTCAGTGCTGTGACTGGGTTGGCGGTCATCAACCCTTTGAGGTGGACCAGGTCAGACATGACAGGTTTTCCAGGAATGTTGTTTTATTGTTGTAGAATGTTGAAAGCCTGTCAGGGTTTCTCTCTGCCCCATCTTATACCAACAGAATCAAGGCAGGCTTATTTTGAGTTTCCTTCTCATACTTTCCCAGAAATTAGTTATCATTTCTCCTCTTTTAGTGGCTCATCCATTCCTTCACCAAAGTCATCTCTATATTCCTTTGCAGCAGTGGAGTTCCCCAAACGTATGGTATTGGGGGACTTCAAGTTGATTTATCTAGGATTAGATTCAGAGACAGCTTTGGAGTTCATGGCCACCATGGCAACTATGGACCTGACCCAGATTTTTGAGGGTCACATGTTAGATCTATTTTTTGTCTCAGGGTGGTGGTGGGATTTTAACGTAAGTCCTTTGTCATGATCTGATCACTCCCAGTAAGTCTTGCAGTTCTTTCAGCTGCATTCTGCCATAGAGAGGAAGGATGTATTCATTTGGGCCACCCTAGGCATTTAATGGACCCTGCTGGATTTCAGAAGGAAGTTGGGACTGTTCCTGAGGTTCTGATTTGGTTGAGACCTTTATTGCTATCTGGGGTGAAGGAGTGATGAGAGCCTTGGACCAAACCTTACCTATGCAAGGTCTCTATGCACATGGATTCTGGATCACTCCCTACTTTTCAGAGGAACATTAGGTGATGTAGTGGCATAACAGACACCCAGAGTGCCACTGAAGGAAAACAAAGTGAGAATCAGACGAAGCATGGGTAATAGCACAGGATGGGATGGTGCATCCATCTTGACTCTCCTTGATCTCTCAGGGGCTTCAGGGGACTTTGATGCTACTGTCGTTCAGGGGATTGGAAATGGGGGACATTGTTTTATGGTGATTCTCCTTCCTTTGAGGCTGGTTCTAGTCAGTGTTGTTATGGGGAGAGGTCCATTGAGGGTTGCTGCAGGGCTCCACTCTCTCTGTGCTCCTTTTCAACATTGATATGAAGCTGCCAGGTGAGATCATCTGGTGAAATATCATCAGTATGCTGATAGTACTCAGTTGTAAATCTTTGTCTCATGATACCGCCAAAGCTCTTTGCCATTGTCTGGTGGCTGTGAGGGTCTGGATGGGGAAGAACTGGCTGCAGCTCAACTCTGACAAGACTGAGTATCTGTGTGTTCTGAGCCTCCCCCCCCCCGCCCCAGAACACACAGATACATGAAGATTTATATAAATAACCTGGCATAGAGCCAGGTTATTTCAGTACCATCTGTCTCCAATTGTTTCTGCTAATTCCACCAGATCAGACAGGGTGGGCATACTCCAGATCCCTTCCTTGAAGAAGTGTCATCTAGTGAGACCCTGGAGGTGTGCTTTCTCTGTCCCAGTGTCTGCCCTATGGAACATCATTCTACCATGAGATTCAGATGATCCCAACCCTGTTGGTGTTCTGAAAAGCTCTAAAAAGGTGCCTATTTCCCCAGGCATTGGGCCAGGATGTTAGGTTAATCCAGCTGTATGGTTGTAGGTTGTAAGGGTTTTTAGAGGACCTTGATGATAGTCCCAGATGGCACTGTATTAATTATTGTTATTGTTGTGGTTATTTTTATTTGAATGTTGGGGTTTGATTCATATGGTCTAATTATGGTTAGCTGTCTATGGTCTTGGAAACAAGACAGGTAGCCATATAAGTAATTTTAATAAATAAATAAATAAATAAATAAATAAATAAATAAGTCAGCCATCGCATTTTTAACATAATGATTCATTGTAGCCCATTTCTGAATTGATACCAGAAGATTGCTACAGAAATAAAAAAAAAGAGTAGTGGGGGAAATTTTACATGTGTTACCTTGAACTTGGAAGAGAAGGATACCAAGGTTCTATGATAAAGTGTGTCTACAGTAATAAGAATGCAATAGTTGTTTCATTGCAGTAATTGAGCTTTGGTATCAAAAGGGGCAATGGGCTGGATTTGTTTTTATTTGTTTATTTGCAGAACACAAAGCAGCATATGATTGTTCCAATCAAAGCAGGATTCTGTAAGAAGTCTTTTGGATCAAAGAGCTTCTTTAAGCACAGAATCAAAAGGCTTCAGTGTCAGAGCATGGAACCCATGGAGACTTGTAAAACTAACAGCAGTACAAAGGAAGTCTGATTCTGTGCTTTGTCTGCTGATATAGACTGAGTCTGTAGAAACAGCTTGCAGGTGCATTTTACATTTTAATTTCCTCTATTCTCATGGGGTAGAAAAATGAGCAAAAAATACCCATAAAAGTGGTTGGTTGGTCTCTTCTTCAAAGGCTGTCAATGTCAAGATGGGTCAAGCTTAATCTGCATTGGAATATTTTCATGTTGAGACTCAAAGTGATTCAGAATGCATTGGTGCCTCTTAGCAGTTTATTCCAGGGGTAGAGATCACCCATTACAGCAGAATGGTGGGTTTCTCAGTTTTGATTCTTCACATAGTAGCAGCTAGAATACAGTGCAAGGACATCTGAGAGAAATGTGCGTATGAGGCCATGACTGTGCTTTCATGCTTATATCCTCCTTAATATCCTCCTATCACAAGAGGAAACCTGAAGTAGCAGGAATACCTATTTTTATTCAGATAGGTGCTTGGGGTTTAAGTTGTTTGCTGAAGTAGGTTTTTTAACTGTAAATCGTTTTTTTGAAATCTCTACCATATTTGTGTACAGAGAAATTGGGTGGTCGGTTCTCCAATTTTCTCCAGGAAATTGGAAATTCTCTGTCAATTTCTCAAGGACGGGACCCCTATCTGGCAGGAATAGTTCACCCCTACTGAAAAAGCCAGATGAAGACTTCCCTAATGATATCCTTCCTTACATTTGCCTGATATGCAAAAAGCTATACAAATGATTGTGCAGTGAAAGATGGCCAGCTTGTAACTAAGTTAAATGCAAGACTTCCATAATCTGTGAATGAAAATTTCCCCAGAATTTTCCTTTCCTTGGAAAGAATTTCTGATGCCAATTCTGTTACATCAAATTGAATGAAAACTAGTAGGAAAAAAAAATGCAATGTAATGTTTTTGTCCAACACAAGCTTTGCCTAGTTTCATTACTATCTTTTAAACTGATTTGCTATTATGTGGTTAATATTCTTGAATGCTATCTGTCGTGAAATGGCAGTAACTCTGTCAACTATCAAAATCCAGGGGAGGCCACTGGTGGGAATAGAGGTTTATTCTGTTTGTAGGTTAAGGTCCAGGAGGACAGAGACACAATATGCTAGGAGGACATACTGAAGCAGAAAGGGAAAGTAGGAGAATATATATGGTTATTTGATGAGGTGAACTGCTCAGACAAAATAGGTAATCCATTGGGTGTATATAAGGGCTTCATGTACTTGTAATATGTAGCATGGATTGGTTCATACCTTGCACTAAGATGGTTTGTTGAATCATCCAAGTTGGGGGGTTTCCTGTAATATGTTAAGCCTAAGCCATAATTTGTAAACTGTAGAAGTTTGATTTGTACAATAAGAAGCCACAAACACCAAGCCACATTCTGGCTTAGTGTGGTATGTTACCCCAGTTCTTGTTGTCAACAACTATATTACACCCTAAAGCAGCCTTTCCCAGCCTAGGTGCCCCTCTAGTATGTGGATTTTAATTCCCAGAATCCCCCAGTTAATATAACTATTGCTGAGAATGATGAAAGGTCTGTGTATTGAAAAAGTGGGGAGGAGTTGATCTGTATGAAAAAATCTGCCATGTGAGCTTGGCAGACCAAAATGTAGGTAACACAGGAGGTAAACCATGGAGGAGTGGCTGCTGGTTTAGGGCACACATACCTCTCTTTTTTTTTAATTACAGTAGAAGGTATTGAAAGAAATGTTCTCAGAACTGATTACTTGTTTATTTAAGAAATGTTCACTCTTCTTAGAATTTAGTGAGACTCTTGGGAAGGTGTGTTTGCTTATTAGCTTGGTGCCAACTCCTTTAGTAATAGGTAGAAAAAGCCATGGGGTTGCAGATCAGTATGGCAGTGATAATGTTTTGGTTTTAATCCATTTAATCTCATTTAGTACATGAGAAACTGCCTGTAAGACAAATGAGACCAGCTCTGCAAAACATGCAGAAGAAACATAAAAACTATCGTTTCCCATGAACTGTATTTCTTATGAAACCCACTGCATGCATATATATATATATATA